ACATATACCATATTCACCCTTGTACCACTCCCACTCGTATCCACCCCCAGAAAAGACCTATTTTTCCTTCCTGCCCTTAATTTTTTTTAAGTGTATATTAATAGTCCAAGGGGGTTTTGCCTTGGTACTTCAGTCCTGTATATATTGTGCTTTAATCAAATTAAATCCCCCCCCCAGTGTTTCTTTATACAGTACTGCATAGGTATTTATACTTGCCTCTTGAGTCATATTAGGATTGGTACCTTTTTCTGCTTTCTATACAATAGCAGGAATTTTCAGGTTCTATTTTTTGCATTGGAGGTTTATAATATTCAGCAATTTCAAGAACATTCTTTCTCTGAACAGGACAAAATGATGCTCATTGCTCAATCATGCAAACTAAGATGGAAACAATTAACCATGGGAATGGAAACAAGATAACAGGACAGAAGAGAGGGAGATATTTCAAATGGTTTCAAGACCAGGAGGTAACACCAAGAGGTAACTGTTACAATTCACCAATTTTAAATATATAATTCAATGAATGTTCACAAATGTATAGACACTACCCCGTATATCATTTCCATCACCCCAAAAGTTCCTTCATGCCCCTTTCCAATCAGTCTGCTTCTAACCTCAGTTCCTGACAATCACTCATCTTTCTTTCACTATAATTTTGCTTTTTCTAGAATTTTGAACAAATGAAATAATCCAACATGTAATCTTTCATGTTGAGCTTCTTTAGGAAAACCAGTAATATGTGAAAAAATATAAAAACTATTGGCTAGAGAAAGGCAGGGAAAATATGCTTTACAATTACTTTGGCTTCATCCTAAGTAAAAATGGCCAAGAAAAAAATCAGGTTCGATATGCACGTTACATTTTCCTAACACTTATTAAAAGACATAATTATTAAAATTTAAAATGTTTATCTAGGTACCAATGATACTCATTTCATGACCTCATATACCATCAGTATATTTAGGAAAATGATGAATTAAAAGAGCTTGACACTCTCTAATAGTTCTAACAGTCTTTTGTTTCTTTGGCAGTACTGGAGTTTGAACTCAGGTCCTTAACAATTATCTAGGCAGGCACTGTACTACTTGAGCCAGTCTGCCAGCCCTTTGTTTGTGTTGGGTATTTTTAAGACAGGGTCTCAAGAACTGTTTCCCTGGGCTGGCTTTGAACCACAATCTTCCTGATCTCTACCTCCTGAGAAGTTAGGATTAAAGGCCTGAGTCATCAGCACCCAGCAGTTCTAACAGTCTTATTTTCTCAATCGTTGATTTAGGCTATTGAGTTTTAGACAAGTGTCTCATCAAAATTTATAAGTAATGATGACACCTGAATCCCCATATGCAGTATAACAGGTTCACATTGTTCACATTTACACTTTATTTTTAAAGATGAATTAAATTTTGTTTTGGTTTTCTACCCTTATTTCCCATTTTATTTGGCTAGAATTAGAAAATTTTGTTTAAGATTTAGTGGAAAGCAAAAACACAACTAAAGAGATGGGAAAATTGAGACTTGTGATGCAGCATAGATTGGGAAGATATCCTGCAGGATGTGAGATTTGCAAGTGAATTTAACATTAAATTGATGATCAACTCAGTATTACTGAGCACAAAGAAGATTAGAAGAGTATAGAACAGAGAGATGTTGAAGACACCATAGAAAGGATACAAAAACATTTTGCAGTGGACTATCTATGGACAATGTACACAACGTGCACAAATTCTTTCTGCGTCTGACTTGTGGTTTAGTCTACCCTGTCTGTACTTTTAGACTGAGACTCAGTAGTTTCTGTCTGTATATCTCTGGGTGGTTGTAAAGGGCTCAGCAGACTGAAAAATAATTGGATCCATGAAGGCCTATGTCTGTCTGTAGATGAGTTTTCCTAGGAAATTAAAACTCTGGGAGGTCCTGAGAGGGCCTTGGAAATTTAAATAAAGAAAAGATCTAAGTTTAATTTTTAAAAGTTTCTCTTTTACATTGTGTCTTTGTGATAAGTACTGCTCATTGGTAATCTGTAGGAGATTACGAAGGGAAGTGGATAGGATTGTCAAGGGTTGTAGGTGGGTGCGTTTCATATCTCCTCCTCCAGTTTTTTTATTGAGGTAAAACCACGTAAGACTGGAATAACTTTGGATACCAAATGTATCAGAGACTGTCTAAAACGATGTGTAGAAAACAAGAATGGACAGTAATGCCCATTTTGCCTGCTCAAATGTATGAGTTGGAGGTCTTTGATATCACTCTGAAATAAGGGGTTGGATGCCCAATTTGCTGTGCTTGATTGGCTATTTGATAGAATGGTAGAATAATCCAGGGCTTTGAACAAAGTGAGAAAGGCCCATTTGAATCCATGTATTAGTTATTATTTATGATCTCATGGTAAACCCTTGAGAAGCAGTTTCTCAGACATCTCACATGCTCCTAAAGATCCTAGATTTAAATTCTTTTGAGAGAGGTTATTTTAAAAATTAAATCTTGGCTTTGTACTTGGTGATAAATTCAGAGTTCTAAAACCCAATGAGCTCAAAATTGGTCTGGCATAAACATGTACTTACATAAGAAGGTGCTTACTTCTGTTTTTCACAATGTGATTTTCTGTTGATAACATGACTTCTACATAAATTAGCTTTCCATCGCTGTGACAAAAAACCTGAAATAATCAACTTTGAAAGAGGGAAGGTTTACTTTGGTTCATGGTTTCAGAGCTTTTTATCCATGGTCATTTGGCCCTGCTGCTTTGGGCCTATAGCAGCATAGCACTTCATGACACAGGTGTTTAGAAGCCAGGAAGGAAGGGAAAGGGGGAGGGGAGGGAGAGAGGGAGCAGGGAGCCAACATCCCCTTTGAGGGCATATCCCTGTGACCTAACTTCCTTCAACTGAGCCCCATGTCTTAAAGTTCCACTGCCTCCCAATACTGCTGGAGGCTGGCAGCCAAGCCTTTGGGGTCATTTAAGACCCAAAGCACAACTTCATTGCCATCTTTTCCTCTGAAGATTGTGGTGGAGTCTGAGGTCACTCTTTATGTAGGCCTTATTCCTGCATTTAATATGCAATGTCAGAACATGTGAAATGTTATACTTTTTACTTACATTGATATTAAGCCTCAAATTAAATCTAAAGATTGCAAGATCAAATTTTGTTTTTGTTTTTTTTAAATACTAACATAAACAAACCCCATTTTGTAATCAGAATTCTATACTTTTTTTTTCTGCATAAACCAGCATAGAACAATGGTCAATTGTAGACACATGAATTCCAGGAAGCTAAACAAGTAAGAATTTGTCATACAAGTGAAGTAGGTTATGTAAATTTTTTAAAAATGAAGAAAAAACCACCAAATTAAGAGGGGCAAAAAGGATTTTTCCCCTCATTTGAATTGTGCTTCTTGAACTAATATAACAAAAATCTCTCAAAAGCAAATTTTTACAAAATGATTGAAATGTTTTAAATTTTTTTTCCCCAATAAACACAAGTAGTGTTAACAAAATAGCAAGAGAAAAAAAAAAAAAAAAAAGAGCCCTCGTTTTAAACTTCTCTGCTGAAAATCATTCTAAAGGTCTTAGCAGCATTTACTACCTTGCTGAGGTGCTGAAGGCATCTCCCATTCCATGACCTTTGCCCTGGACGTCTGCTAGAAAAGGGTGAGAAAATAAGTTCTGGACGCTTTTATTTGAAGGCCCAGCTGGGCTCCTAGTTTTCTTGAAATCAGTCTCTCACAATTCACAAATTCCACTAATCCTAGCTACTTAGGTGGCAGAGATCTTGGTTCGAAGCCAGCCTGGGGCAAATAGAAAGGGAGACCTCCCCCCCTCCATCTGAGGGGGCGGGGGCTGGGGGAGGGGAACCATCACAGAAAACTGGCTGGCAGGGTGGCTCAAGTGGTAAAAGCACCTGCCTAGCACCAGTGAGGTAAGACTTCTATTAACTTGAAAGACAGTCATGTACCTTTCATTATATTTTACCTCTGGCTACTTGTGTCTATAAAACCTAAGTCTTAGAATTAAAAAATCGCAAAGACGATCTTAATTTTACTCAAAAATGCAACTATGTATGAGAAATGAGCAAGTGGATGGTCTCATGATATTTGGGTGAAGTCATCAGACCTCATTTCACTTCTGTATTTGGGGGTGGCCAACCCATTTCTCAGGATTTAACCATTACAATGATCAACTCGTGGTATTTGGGTGAAGTCATCAGACGTCATTTCACTTCTGTATTTGAGGGTAGCCAACTCATTTCTCAAAATTTAATCATTACAACGATCAAAAGTCGTTTCTCACCCTGTCAAAGACTTGGTCCATTGCCCTTGACTGTCGAGCAGTATTAGGTCTGGTCCCCTCATTATCTTTCAGCACTGAATTTAATCTCTACCTTTCCACGCAGGAAAGTCAGAACATCCTTCTAAGGATCAAAGAGCTCAAGCATAGATGGCGTGGAAGCGGAGTCCAAGCTCTAGATTAAAGGGGCCTCCCCAGACCTCATTCCCCACGCAGCTCCTGGGATTTTAGGCAGAGGCCAGCAGGATCCGGAGGGATGGGGGCAAAGGGCCGCATCCCAACTCCAAACGGGAGACAAAGGTATCGCGGCGCGCGCGGGGAAGGGCGACAGCAGTGGGAGGCTCCTGGGCCCCAGCCGGTGGCGTGACTCCAGGAGCACTCGCGGCACCAGCCGGGACTGGGTAGGACAGCAGTAAGGTCCCAGCCAGCCAGTCAGCCTGGGGACTGGCGAACCAGCTCCCTGGGGCCCGCCCCTCCACATGGGCCGAGCCCTGAAACCCCGGTGGACGCCAAGGTCACGCGCCCGCGGCCGCTCGCAGCCCTGGCCTCCCCAGTAGGCGTAGCTGAGGAAGAGCGCGTGCCTCACGTCCGCCCGGCGGCCCCGCCCCCTGCGCTGCGCACGCGCAGCCGCGCCCCGCCCCTGCTCCCCGCCGGGGGAGGGCGGGGCGGGGAGCGGTGTCGGGAGGCCGCTGAACGCCCCGACTTCGAGCGCCTTAGCCGCCGCTGTTGCCGCTGCTACTGCTGCTACCGCCACCGCGTCACGGCTCCCGGCCCGCCCTCCCCGGCCCCTCCCACGCTCGGTTTCCCCCCCGTCTCCCGCCTCCTCCGTGCGAGCGGTGACTTAAGCAACGGAGCGCGGTGAAGCCCATTTTTCTCCTTCCTCGCAGCCGCGCCGGGGAGCTCGCGGCGCGCGGCCCCTCCACTGTGGCCCGAGATGAATGCTGCGGCAGAAGCCGAGTTCAACATCCTCCTGGCCACCGACTCCTACAAGGTAGAGCTCGGGCCGGGACCGGGAACGGGGAGCGGGCTCGGGGCGCGTCCCGGAGAAGCTCGAGGCTGCGGTGGCCGAGTCTGGGAGCGCGGCGCGGGGCGGCCCTCGGGCGGGCGCGAGGCAGCGGCGGCGCCGGGATGGGGCAGGTGGAGCGGGCGCCGCAGTGGGGAGGAGGTGGGTGGAGGACGATGGGCGGCTGGAGGCGGGGCCTGTGTGTGCCGTGGGGGCGCGGGGCCGGGGGCCGCGCGGGCAGAGCCGGCTTCGGGGAGCGCGGGAGCGGGAGCACACGCCTCCCGGAGCCGGCCGCTGGGCCCCCGGCTTGCCCAAGGATCGGGCCAGTTAGGTAGCGGCCCCGAGCTCGGCGGAAGAGGGAAGAGCTGGCTTTTCCCCGCCCCGCCGAGCAGGGTCCGGCGTGCTCGCCCCTCGCGGGGCAGGTACGACCCTTACAGAGTGGCGCCCGGAAAGTGCGTTCCCCACCCATCTCGGTGCCCCGTGAGGAGGACACACGTCTGTCCCCGGTAGGAGGGTCGCATTCAGCCATTCACCCCACTAGGCTGCATTTCCAACTCCTTTGCACCTAGTGATCACTCGTGCTCCGGGAGCACTGGTTGCAGAGGCCAGTGTGCTCTCATGCCAGTAGGGTCACGACAGGATTTCTGGGAAAAGGAAAGTGAAACGCGAGGAAGTGAAGGACTTCGACTTTTAACCCTGAAGAACTTGTAGAGAGGGAAATGGCACATTGCTTTAATGTGCCTATTGGACGCTTGCATGTGCAGCTGTCCCATTAATTTTACTTGAAACGCGCTAACGTCAGAAAAGGGAGGAGTAATTCAGGGAGAAACCTAGCAAAATGTTTCCAAATTATATGACGTTTTTGTGTATTTCTGCTAAGTTTTGTTAGTCAAGACGCTTGAAAGGTGAAATGTCAGACCAGAAACCTCACTTGCACAAAATAAACTTCAGCTTTAAATTTTAGTATTTATTTTTCTGAATACAGTGATAAAGCATGGTGTTTTTTGGTTTTTGGTTGGATTCTTTATCATTCAACCCTCCAATATTCTGAGAAAGTGTTTTAGAGCATCTCATTTTATTTCAATTCTACTTTGTTCATTTCTTTGCAGTCACCTTAGGATTCTGTTTATTATTCTTAGATGAGTTTTCACTTAAATAGAGCCAGGATTCATCAACAGGTGGTCTTTGGAATGGAATTTTAAAGAAGGAAATCTGCACTGTTATAAGATCATTATAATTTCAAGTGCGGTCCTTCACTTGACCCTAAAACCTCTTCTGTGCTCTCTTAGCTCAGTGTTTTGGGTATCCCTAATGATGATTTTAGAATGTGCTCATTCGTAGCTCTGTGGAACTTCTTTTAATTAAATAACTAATTTTCAGATTTTTTTAACGAATTAGCTTATGAAATGATTGAATTGTAAATAGGAAATGTAAACAGAGGTTAAGTCTACTTTCACAGCCATCACTCCGCATATATCCGGTTACACTACTGTGCAGTTCTCTACGCCATATAGTATGTAAAGAATGTAAAATTGCTTTGTCAGTTTTCTTGGATTACCTTGAATCTCTGTTACGTAACAGCTGCGCTTGGCGCATTATTGCCTTGAAGCTGTGTATCCTAAATATAGTTTATGCACTGATTCGAGCTTCCCATTTAGGTCCCACCACGAGTCATATTGATATACTCACGCAGCTTGATATCCGGTCGCCACGTCCCAGTCTACCCTGCCGACCATCTTATGTGTATCGCGGACTACGACTCCCGCGTACATATTTAGAATTTGCACCTATTTAGTAAACTTTATTCCTGTCCATTTTTAAGTCAGGCTGATGTATTTTATCCTTTTTCTTATATGAGATCTCTTCAGAAGGTGTTTTCCCCAAAAAGCCCTCAAGGGCAATTACTTAGGGAAGGATTCAGGGGAGAGGGGTAACTGACCCAGAACAATGTATCACATGTGAGTAAAATGCTAAAAGGATGACATTATAAAAAAACTTTTTTTTTATAACGAGATTTCGTGGTTCAAGTTGAAATGTTTGAGAAAGACAGAATCCATAATACAGTGCGGTAGCGATCACGGTGGGCTGGGAGATGCCAAATAGAATGTTTGCTCTTCCGCAATCCACATTTGGGTCTCTTGAGTTTCATTTTCCTTTTGTTTTAAATAGTCCCTACAGTTTCTAATTTTGCCTTTTTCCTTTTTTTTTTTTTTAAGGATTTTTAAATTTTTAACTTTGCAGCATAAGCAAATGCCTTTTCAGACAAGTAAATCTTAAAATATTGTACAATTATTGACTCTACAAAGCATTCTGAAAGCAGACTTTTTCATCATCTTAGTAATTTTGCCTTATCTTAGTTAAAGAGACAAAAGTGCTAATCTTGAGGTTAAAAGTAATACTACTTTTATTTGGAAATTTCTTTAAAATGTTACATATTCATACCAGTTCTTACAGACTCTTGGCCAATTAGAAAACTAATAGATGTGTTCAACAGCAAAAACTGTTGATTTCTTCTTTCTAAAACTGAAGGAAGAATAATCGATTGCCTGAGCACTACAGAATGGTTTTTGTAAGTAGATAGGGTAAGTGGCAAGCACATGGCAGCATGTGGGAGTTTGTTTATGTGTATCCTCTCAAGAGAATCCAGAACAATGTCAGCCAAAGGTAGAACATATGAAATGTATATATTTGTTTCTGTGATCTCACATTTTATGTTGGTTCCATATTGGAACTAAGAACACAGGCAAATATGGTTCTTCAGTTTTCATTATGGGTCCTTTTTGAAAATCAAAAGCACCTAATCTTGTCTTTAATCCTAAGTGTTAATCATTTATATTTTCAGGATAGTTTAAGGCAAAATTATTTAGTGGGTTATATTTACATTGTGCTAAGCCAGCTAGGGAAGATGCATTTGAGCCAATCTCAGCAGTGGAAGTGTTTAAATAGCATTTAGAACTTTTTTGTAAAGGAGACAGTATTAGTTTTTGGATTGATCAGTTTCCAAATAACTAGATCATTTAAAGATGCTTCTCTGGGTTTTTTTTTCTCTTCTGTGTACATATTGTTTGTAACAAAATACAGCAGAGATTCGTTTCTAAATCTCTGGATATTTTATCTGTAGTAGCAGATTGTGCTGTAGCTGGAAAAGCAGCGTACAGCTTAAATCACATACACATTCATTTTGAGATGTGCTGTTAGTGTACCTCGCTTTTCAAAAAGCCTTTTATAAACTGGTTATCTAGAACTCAGCACACTTTCACTCATTCATTTAATATATAGTGAACACCTATTGGGTACTGTAAGGAAAGAGCTATTATTTATAGTGGTAAAGCATTTAAGAAGACTTTGCTTTCTCTAGTGACTGAATGACCCATCTTAGAAGCTTGAGCTTTTTTGAGGAAAAGATTTGGGGAAATGAGAATTGTCATGCAGGCAACTTAGATCTGCCTGGAACTTTAGCTTCTGAATATCTTCCTCAGAAGCTGTTCTGTATTTCATAGTTACCTCTCTCTCACTTTTCCTAATGGACACTGAAGTGTGGGCAAATTGGCTCCTGTGGCAGCCTGAGCTCACTTCTGAGGAGTGGAGTACTACTACAGTATTCTTCCCCATCATTATTTCCCATGTCCAGTTAATCAGCTTAATTCTCCTTTTCCTCCAGAAGTACTGGGCCAGGTCTCTCACCTAACCTAGTCTTGGGCCTCTTAACTCCTGCTTGTGCTCTGAGTTCCCTATAATCTGTACTCCACTCACTGCCTAGCTGAACCTTTTGAAATGTGAGAACAGAGTCTATATCTCAGTGTTAGAGCATGTACTTGCCATATGCAAGACCCTGTATTCATTCCCTAGCATCAATCAATCAATCAGTAAATAGTGAATCAAATCATATTCCACCCTAGCTTAAGGCATAGTGCCTCCCATTGCACTTGATGTGAAATCAAAGCTCTTGGAGTAGCCTGAAAGCCTTGTGATCCTATCCCCGCCTACCTCTGACCTTACCATCTCTAAACATCAACCACATTGACTTTCTTTCTGTTGTTCTTTATGCCAAAGCTTTTCCTGTCTTATCATTTAGCTCTTGCTCACATATCATCTCAGAGACATCTTCCTGGGTACTCTAAAGTAGTTTCCCAAGCCCTGCCTGGCTCATCGTTTTTGTAATTTTTTATAGCATCCAGTTTGAAATAATTTTGTTCATATTTTATGTTTTCTCTTCCCCTGATTATTAGCCCAGGGGAAAATTGGAATTATAGTCAGTCTGTTTTACTTCCCCATACTCAGCATATGAAACGTAGTAATGCCTAATACATAGAAGGTACAGGATATGTATTTGAGAATGAGATATTAATAACAATTTATAGATTTAAATTTGTTATAGCATTCCATTTTCAGAGTGACCAGTTAGCAAAAAATAAAATGGAGGGCAGTAAACTAGCAAGACTAAAGCTGTCATCTATTGACCATATTAGAATAATATTTACCAAAAAGTGCTGTTTCAAAACAATTTTCCCCTTAAAACAATGTATATATACCCATTTAAACAGATTTAAATATGTTTTGTGTTCACCTGTAAACTTGCTGAGTTAGTAGGTGGTTAATAGTGAATTACGTTTTATGGTTAATTACCTGAGAGTTTGCCTAGACTGTTTAAATTTTTTATCTATATTCTCTAAAACAGTTCTCTTAAGTTTTTAGAATATACCTCATTTCTAATTAAACAGCCTAGACAATTAAATGATATTTGTTTTCAGAGGAGGCATTCTGAATATTTAGGCACAGATGGGTTTTAAAGTGCTACAAGAAATGTAGCCTAAGTAAGGCTTTAAAATTATAAATAAAAAAATTCTTACCTAGAAGGAGAACTATTTGTGTGGTGGGAAATTTTAGTATACTTTTAGACTTTGATAAAGTTAAAGTTTCCATTCGGCTTTTGACTACTTAGTCTTCTCAAAAGAGGAAAATAATCTGTCTTGTAATAGTTTAAAATCTGATAGAAGATTTTAAGTATCTGAACTGTAAAAGTAGCTATAATTAAGATCAAGGTGGATGCTATGAAATACAACTATGAATCTGAGTTTTATAAAATTACATTGTGTGATCCAGGCCTTTTCTTTCAAATGTTACTTTATCATGACTGACTTTTTTTCTACCTCATTTAGTCCCACTAAAGAAATTGGAGATATTTATTAAATTATAAGTTGGACACACTTATTTTTACAGACATCTTGTGTATATTTTAGGTGAACATTGCCTTTTTTTTAATATCAGTTTAAGTAGCAGAAGTAATGATCTTCACAATATTTATTACTAAAGTATTCATAAAATTCATAAATATATTTACCTTGTTTTTGAATTTTAGGAGATTAATGGATTTAATTGTTGTAGGTTCTGTATTAGCTGTCTTTCTTACCTACGTCTTAAATCTTCTTAAAGTGGTATCAGTTCCTGGGTTCTAACCTTAAAAAGCCCTGGCATATATATAGGTTTGCTGAGGCCTTCCTATAACTTTTAGTATATAGGTATCTATGTACCTGAGCAAAATAGCTCCAAGTCTCCTGCGGGACCAAGCTTTCTGATCACATGTTATTATGAAGATTTACCCCCAGCATTGCCTGTGTGCAGCAGCAGGGAAGCTGCAGGTATGTTTCACTGGAGAGGAAACAGAAGACTGTCATTCATTAGTATCAGTGGAAATCATGCATTTTAGAGTTCTTGGGCTAAACTACAAAGATTCTTTAGGATTGAACCAGGTTTGACCAAGACTGAGATTGCAATTGTGAACCAAAGAAAACATTGACTTTCCTAAATTTGAGATTGTAGCTAAACAAGAAAAATGGCTGACAGTGGTCACTATGAAACTTGGTTCACAGAGATTTATTCCACTGTTGCCATGATTCACCTTAGTCCTTAAACTTTAAGCCTTTATTATTCCTTTTCTTTCCACTGGGCAAATATACATTATTCTTCCAGTTATTTTTATTAGTAAAATGTTACAGTATGGTAGAAATGCTAAGATAAAATTCACATTCTAATAAACATTTTTAACTTTTTCTTTAAATGAAAACATTTTTTAACAATGGACTTTACCAAGTACATAGAAAAGAAATTTGTGCTAAGACCTGTTTTTATTTTTAAACTGAAAGATTTGATGTTGCATTGTATAGGAATTTGTTTTCCAAATAGGATTTATAATTTTTTTTAAAAGGATTACATGACAGGAATTTTATATATTTTTTTTGTATTTATTTTTGCTGCTGCTACTGGTTTCATTCGAGGTTTTTATAGTATCACTATGAAGGCCAGAAAGGATCATGCTCTGCTTCTCATTCATTACACAGAGATGAAGAAGTGGACAAGAAGTCACTGACAGTTATCAGACATACCACATTTAGTAGTAATATACAAGTACAGGTTGAACATTTCTAATTAAAACCCTAAAAAGCTCCAAAATCCAAAACTTTTCTTAGCATGGACGTGATATCACAAGGGGAAAATTCCACACCTGACCTCATGTGACAGGTCACAGGTGAGTTAGAAATGTGTAACATTGCCTTCAGGTTATGAGTTTAGGATATATATGAAACAACTGAATTTTGTGTTTAGACTTGGGTCCTATCCCCAAGATACCACCTAAGTATATGTAAATATTCTAGAATTCTAAATCTGAAGTACCTCTGGCCCCAACCTTTCAGATACGGAGTGCAAATACATAACCAGTCGTAATCGCTGACTTTGTGCATTCCTTTATATTGATGGTACCCCTCTACCACCCCCACACGCACACGCACAGCTGCTTCTCCTCTAAATAAAATGCTGGTCCCCAAATGAGATCCTATTCCAACAAGAGGCTTTGTTTATAAAAAATAGTTTCTTCTGGTTTTGATTTTGAGGTAGTGAACTATTAAAAGTATCTTAATAAGTAATATACTTACTTTTTATTCTAAATGTTTACCAAAGAAAGTTGATCAATAGCTAGTAAGGCATATAGTTTCTCTAGTTTTGAAATAATTTCAAGCCTTCTTCTGTTGTGATTTTATAAAGTATTTTTCTTCATACAGGTTACTCACTATAAACAGTACCCACCCAACACAAGCAAAGTTTATTCCTACTTTGAATGCCGTGAAAAGAAGACAGAAAACTCCAAAGTAAGGAAAGTGAAATACGAGGAAACAGTGTTTTATGGGTTGCAGTACATTCTTAATAAGTACTTAAAAGGTATTACTTTTCCTACTACATTTAAAACACTACTTTTATGTAACTTCATGATTTTTTACTTCATATTCTATTCGAAGTAACTTTTTGAATAGTCTAATTTTGATAATTACTCTAACCATGTTAGGGTTCTTTGGGAAAGTTTTATCTGTTTAAGATCTAATTTAAGATTTAGTGCATTAAATCTTAGAATTTGGCATGTGTGTTTGGTGTCTTAAGTTTAAGAAAGGTTTTCTGAAACCGGTAAGTTTTAGAATAAATTGAGGAAAATCAGTAATATTGAGCAGCTAATCTGGTTTGTGATTAGACTTTGGTCATTAATTCAAAGTAAAGGATTTGCAGTTGACCTGGAAACTCACTTTGAATTATGGTAGCCATTATAAATAGAATATCTTTGTTCTGGTCAGTTTTATCTTAAACTCATTTTTCAAAACTACTTATAATTGTGGGCGTAGTTTCAAATGCATTTTTAAACATAATTTCTGTGCTTTTTTTTTTTTTTTTTTTTTTTGTGGTACTGGGGCTTGAACTCATAGCTTCACAGTTGCCAGGTAAAGACATTATTCCACTTGAGCCACTCTACCAGCCCCATTTCTTAAGTACTTAAAAGGTATTACTTTTCTACTACATTAAAACACTACTTTTATGTAACTTCATGATTTTTTTACTTCATATTCTATTCGAATAACTTTTTGAATAGTCTAATTTTGATAATTCCTCTAACATGTTAGGGTTCTTTGGGAAAGTTTTATCGTTTAAGATCTAATTAAGATTTAGGCATTAAATCTTAGAATTTGGCATGTGTGTTGGTGTCTTAATTAAGAAAGGTTTTCTGAAACCGGTAAGTTTTAGAATAAATTGAGGAAAATCAGTAATATTGAGCAGCTAATCTGGTTTGTGATTAGACTTTGGTCATTAATTCAAAGTAAAGGATTTGCAGTTGACCTGGAAACTCACTTTGAATTATGGTAGCCATTATAAATAAATATCTTTGTTCTGGTCAGTTATCTTAAACATCATTTTCAAAACTACTTATAATTGTGGGCGTAGTTTCAAATGCATTTTTAAACATAATTTCTGTGCTTTTTTTTTTTTTTTTTTTTTTTGTGGTACTGGGGCTTGAACTCATAGCTTCACAGTTGCCAGGTAAAGACGTTATTCCACTTGAGCCACTCTACCAGCCCCCATTTCTGTGCTTTTTAATTGGCCATTTCTAGTCTATTTTGTAGTGATGTTTTAGTGGGGAAACTGTTTCTAGAGATCTTAATGCATCTTAGAAATTTTTAAATAAAAATAATTTCATTGTTGAATACAGATTAAGTCTAGTTTTGTGCAAATGATAATTTTTCCATAATCTTGGCTATTTTAAGAGCAGGTAGTTCATATGCATTATACTGTTGAAAACCTAGCTAAATATCAGAAGTACTTGTGCTAAGACTGTCCAAGATATTTTAAGTTAATTTGCTAGTTACCTTGTATAGTTTCCAAAGATGGATGGTATAATTTCATTCATTTCTACAGCTTGAAAGCTGTAAATTATTATATATCATTATAACTAAAATGTATTAATTGCCAACTCCAGGCCAGTAATGTTGTAAATGGTTCTGTGTTTTAACTCATTTTTTTCAATAACCATCCATTAAGTAGGTACTTTACTATTATTCTCATTTTACAGGTAAGAAACGTTAACTAAAAATGTATGGGGGAGGGGTATAGTAATTGTGAAAATTACTGGCTTACTAGCCCTGAAGATACCACATCCTTTATGAATACAATGAGAAGGTTCACTTGGAAAATGTAAGAAACTTTAATCATCTTAAATTTAAAGAGTATCTGAATTAATAGAGTTAATTTGTTGTTTTTTAAAGATACCGTGCAAGTAATCTTTTCTATTGTTCACTTGATTTTAAAATAAAGTAACATTTTTATGACTAGAGTGAGTGGCCTGAAGTATAGATTCTTTTTCTGATTTAGCTGTTGACTCTGGGTGAGTCATTTAACTCTCTCCTTGTTACTTTTTAAATCCTAGAGTGGGTGAAAGAGATAAAGATTTCAGTTATATGTCAATTAGCAACTCACAGAATGCCTTTAGAAATGTAAACAGGACATGTATATCCTTTTAGGTAAAGTAGTGACCAAAGAGAAAATCCAGGAAGCCAAAGAGGTGTACAAAGAACATTTCCAAGATGATGTCTTTAATGAAAAGGGATGGAACTACATTCTTGAGGTAAAAAGTGGTGTCATGTTTTGATCAGTTTTAGTTTTGTATTCAAAGCTTCTTGCCATGGGATTTGAATAGAAAATTAGGCTATTACTATCATTCTTTTCTGTTCACAATCTGAATATATACTATTGTAGACATCCTTGTGAAAAGATAATGGGTAACAGTTGATTTTTCCCCTTACTGTAAATCATTACCATGTCTAAGTAATATTTCATGTAAACAAATTAGAATTCAAATAACATTTTTTGGAAAGGTAATTTAATCCATTCTTAAAAATACACCTAAGAACATGTAATTATTAGTGAAAGTACTTTAATAATTAAAAAGGGGCATGTGTATTTGGCAGTTTCAAAAGTTCTGCTTCCTTAACTGAAAGGAAAAGAAAGCTATGAAATAATTTTTCTCACTAAATAGTTAGAATAGTTTGGTATAGATCATGAAGTTGAATTTTGTTCTTCATTATATCATAATAATTATATCTAGTTTATTTATTCAAAGGCATGGGAATTAAATCAGGAAGTCTTAAGATTCTCTAGAGAGAATCTTGTCTGGCTCCGTTTTGTACTCTGAGACCTAGAGCTGTTAAGTGACTGACTTGCCCAAGGGCTCACAGATTCTTCTGAATGCAAGCCAGGACTTGTAAGGTAGTGTCCTTTCTGCTGTATCATGATATCCTCCCGTGCTTCTCATTGTGCACATTTTTCTTTCATTTAATTACCTATTGCAAGGCACATAAGTAAACTTACTAAGATTTCTGAAACTTACCTTCCTAGCCAAAAGTTATATATATAAGGGTGGTGTTGTAGGTTGGTGGTAGAGCACTTGCCTAGCATGAGCAAGACCATGGGTTCAATCTCCAGCACCACAGGAAAACAAAAACCCCTAAAAGTTAGCCACAGCTTTTAGTTTTAAAGTGTGTGTTAGGAGGGAGATTACAGTTAATACATTCTAACATACCTTGAAACAAAATAACCCTCAGCCTAATTTTGGAGGGAATTATTGCATTAGTAAGAAGTCAGACTTGAGTGTTGATTGCCAAGGATCTATGATTGGCCCATTCTTCATGCTTTCAGGTCTATTGCCAGAATAAAGATGGAACTTACTTGAGGTTCTTCTGCAGGGATTTCCCTCTCTCCCTGTTTTCTTTTGTTCTTTAATAGCAGTCTTTTATTTTACCCTTCTATCTTCAGCCTTTTATTAAAATGACCATATAGAATAAGGTTGTGTTCTTGGAATATTTTTAGAATATATTGGAATAAACTCATCCTTGGTTTTGGGTTTTTTTCTGAAAAAGCAGGGGAAATACCGTTTTTGATCAGTTTGGAATTATCTACCTCTTCTAGTGACAGATGTTCTTAGCAGAGACACTTGACAGCATTAAATTTAAAAATTAATATCAGTGCCTAAATTTTTAATAATTGTAACTAATTTTATTTTAGAAACAAGAATATTCTGACTGGATTATTAGCTTCTATAAAATATAAAGAGCCTTAATAAAACAGGCAGTTTAGTATTATTTATTGAATAAATGAATTCATTGTTGTCTTTTGCCAGAAATATGATGGTCATCTTCCAATAGAAGTAAAGGCTGTTCCTGAGGGGTCTGTCATTCCCCGAGGAAACGTTCTCTTCACAGTGGAAAACACAGATCCAGAGTGCTACTGGCTTACAAACTGGATTGAGGTGAATGGGTTTTTGTTTTCTTAATTCTTACTTAATAGTAATTGAAGGTAAATATTATTGAACTGAAATCTGCCACTAATAAAGCCATATAATCTCATACAGTTTTCTCACTTTCTTCATCTGTAAAATGACAAACAGACTAAATAACCTCTAAAGTCATGCCAGTGAAAGATTATGTTCTGAGATTTTATCTAAGTTATTAAGAATTACTACTTTTAAAACACAGTTGACTTCCATCTTAATTTGTTGTAATTCTAAATGTGTAACTTAGAGCAAAACTAAAAAAATACCACAAGAACATTTGAGTAACTTGGGTAACTTAAAAGACATCTTATATATTCTATTTCAGTTAGACAAGAGGAACTTCACTCCAGTTTTTAATTAGTTTAATCTTAGGCTGTCTTTTCAACTTCTCATCTAAATACAAATAAGATACACTATTCATATTGTTTAATTTCTAAATCTAAACGGAGGGTACATTTTGGGTTGGCTTATTTTACAAGGCTTTTTCCAGTCTTCCTTGCACATATATCTAAGCTGTGAGATATTGTCAAGTCTCAGGTTTAATGATAATAATCTACTTAGTGTCTTGGCAGTTTAATACAGATTTTACCTGTAGGAGGATATACCCTAGTAAGTAACTATAGAAATACCACCTTACTTAGTTGTTACAGCTGACTTTTAAAATTTGTTCATTGATAAAAATAATTTGTTATACTGTAAAATAATTCATTTGAGGTTCATTTTAAATACTGAAAAAAGTGGAAAAGTAAGGTCCAAGAATATGTTCGAAATACATTCTGTTAAGTTGACAGGAAATTTAAACCTTATTAGACTTTTGATAGGCTACCAACTAAATAAGCCAATAACAGGCTCAGGGGGAAAAAAAAAAAAAAGCAAGTTAACTAAATAAAGGTTTTTTAATAGCCTATACTATAACTTTGAATTAACTGTGAACCCCAAAGAGAAGGGGTCTTACTAATTTTGTACTGGCAAGTATTTGATTTTGAAGGGATAATAGTATAAAAACAGGGAAGACGAGATTTAGGGTTCTGGATTAACCCAGGGCCTTGAACATGCTATGCCCATGCTCTTGCCACTGAGCTAAACCCCTGACCCCAGAGTAGAAGCATTCTTAACTACATCATCTAGACTAGACTTTTATATAAACTTAAAAGCCTAAAGAGGAAGAACATTTGTTTTCTGGCTAAGGATTTCATCAATATATGTCTAACTGAATGTCCGTATAGCAGATATTTATGCAAGTAGTAACTAGTTACTATTCTACCTTGGTTATGTGGAGTTTTCTTAATCCTCTTAAAACACGAGTCTTAAAAAGAAATTTTTGTTTTTAAACCACAAAGTAAAACATTTGTTTGTTGGGGTTTTTGCTGTCACTAAGTTTGAAATGCATCTTACTTTTATCAGTCACCTTATGTTTGACATCTGTTAGCAGATCCAACAAACTTGAAGATGTTCCTGGTTTAAAATGTTTTAAATAACAGCACCAAGTAGTATTACTTTCAGTTGCCTTCTTCAGTGTATGCTCAAAGTTATTGTACTCTCCTGAGTTAGTATTGGTGCCAGAAGAAACCTTGGTCCCCTCAGCAAATTTCAAAACAAGTTTAAGAGAGCATAGGAGTTCTGCAAATTGTCTTAGGCATATGGAGAAGGTAGAGGAACATGTACATTGGGTTAAACTTACCCTCTCTTTTACCAAAAAAACAAAATAACACCTTTCTGGTATGAAAAAGACAGATGATTTAAAAATGATTACACTGATGACATTTTACAGATGTGGAAACTGAGGCCCGAGAGGTGAACAGATAGGTAAACAGCATAGGTATGGACTTTCTTCTCTGCCACATCATCTCACATTCTGTAAAGTCCTTATCTTGCACAGTGAAATGGTAATAAACACTTACCTTAATGTGTGGGCAACTTGCTGTTTTGGAAAAATTTCCAACAAGGCCTACTTCATTAGACCTTGGATTAACCCAAACTAACCTGACTTTTCTCCCTTGCTTACACCTACAGTGATCTTTTTTAAAGGGGAGTGATTTTATTAAGAGTATAATTTAAGCTGATTTTGTTGGACTGTGGAAAGGAAATGGTGATGTGAAGGATCACTGTGTCTGATAGTTATTTCTCTCCTTCCTTCCCTGGCATTTTTCGAGGGGTAAGGTCAAATCTTCTACCTTTATAACTCAGCGAGTTTTTTCACGTTATGTTTTATATCTTTCTCATACTCCTAGATAAAATTGATATCTTAGTTGAATTAAATGTTGAGTTTGGTTGATTTAGATTTAACAAATTAATACTAAGTACTATGCATTGCTTGCACAAATACCAGAGTAAGATATGTCTGATTAACAGCCTTTGAGGTTTATTACTGCTGGCATGCTCAAAGGATAGTGTGATAGATACTCAGAATCTGACATCGTTGGTTTTCTTTCCTTTATGCATGTTAAACCTGGTATTTCTATTGATACGGTATTTTTTTAAAAAGAGGGAGGGAGAGGTGACAGAACTAGCCATTAATATCATGAAGAATTAATACTGAGTTGGTACCCCCCCCCAAAAAAAATAGGTTAATTCAGTCTAAGGAATTTAATGAGGAGGAGGCAGAACTGAGGGAATGACATAGTGTTTCTAAAATGGCACATAGTCCAGTGAAGACTTCAGTATAAAGATGAACTTACAGAAGCCAAACATGGAAAGATTTTAGAAGACCTCAATTCTGTTTGATATGGTTTTTTCTCCCTATTGATAGTAGGTTTGTAAGGAATGATGCAACCTGAATAAAACTTGCTTTAGAATAACTAGGAAGAACACAATATGAAGAACGTAGTTACAGAGGCTAAAGATTAGAGGCAGGAGAATTGTGAATGTTGGTAGTGGTATCAAAAGAGGAGAATGGTAAGAGATTGGAGGTGATTGGCTATAGAATATAAGTTAAGAGTTGTATCAGCTTTCTGTTGTATATCAAAGTATTCCGAAATTTAGTGACTTAACACATTGTTGTTTCCCCTGATTCTGTGGTTCACTGGATGTTCTCTTGCTGGCCTTGCGTGGATTCACACACCCATATTCAGCTGAGGGCTCAGCTAGGACTGGGCAGTCTTCAGTGGCCTCACATCCAGTTGTATGTCCTCAGCTCAGGTAGCTGGGATGACTGGGCCTTCCTCCATAGCTGAGGCTTCTTTACAGTTTGAGAATAAGAATAGGAGCTTCAAAAACTTTGAAACTGGACCTTAGATGTCATACAGCATGAATTCCACTAAATTCCTGTGGTCAAAAGCAAATTGTAAGTATAACTCAGAATCAAGGGATGAGAAAGCAGACTCTAGCTCTTTAGGAAAAGAGCTGCAAGACTCATACTTACTTAATCACAGGAGTATAATGCTACAATATTTTTCTTTAGATGACCAAATTGGCAAGTCTAAGGTTCAATAATCTGTTTGTTTTTACTTATTACTAATCATTTAACTGACATAAGATTTTTTTCTAAAATTTAAATCAGAAATAAAGTATCTTTTTTATTCAGCTCAGATCAGACATCATTACCATTTTAGTTCTTTATAAAATACATTTAAAACTGTGAGTACTAACATGCTATAAGGCTTAGAAAATTAAAATAGCAAATTCTAATCCTAGAATGGAGAAGTGTGATTACTATGATTAAGCATCAAACTTTCCTTCGAGTTTCCTGGAAGTCAAGAACAAAAGGAAAGCTTAAAAAACAGTTCTTACTAGAAGGAACTTAGCATAACACTTCCTCATTTGAGAACTTACAGTCACTCTATTCATAAGAAAAAACTGACCTTGAAATTACACAGCATATGCAAAAGTATTTCATGAGATTTTCTTATAATAAACTTTGATAAAAGCTAAGGATATAAAGCATAAGTCAGTGAATGGAATTCTCTAGTGCTAAGCTAAAGGGTCTCAAATACATGACTTACCTAGTAGTAAGATCCAAGGAAAACTTAGATCCAGGTCTATTAAACCAGTGCCAATCCATGACCTGTTTGATGCAGGTCTGTATTAAATACAGAAATGAAGAATAAGCATTTAAAAATTTATGGAAACTGGGCACCTTGGCTCACACCCATAATCCCAGCTACTCAGGAGGTAGAGATCTGTAGTATCCCTGTTCTCTGTAGCCCAGGCAAATAGTTAGCAAGACTCTCATCTCAACAAACAAACCAGGCAGTGATGGTGTGTTCCTGTCATCCCAGCTACATGAAAGGCCACAGGTAGGAGGATCATGGACCAAGGCTGCCCTGGGCAAAAAATGAGACCTATCTGAAAAATAATCTAAAGCAAAAAGGGGTAGGCACATGGCTTAAGTGTAGAGCACCTACCTAGTAAGCTCAGGGCCTTGAGCTCGAACCTGAGGATTGCCAAAAACAAAAAAATCTTAAGGCAATTTGTTATGGTAAATGTGAGTATATCTTATCAAACTGTCAGTCTATAACAGATTGAATTGTTTGAAAAATTTGTCCTTCATCACAGTCTTTCAAAATATTATTAGCTTTACCTACTTTGCAAGTGTAAACCCCTGAGTTCAAGCCCCAGTCCCACCAACGTACGTGTGTGTGTGTGTGTGTGTGTGTGTGTGTGTGTGTGTGTGTGTGTGTGGTGTATTCTTTGGTACTTTGGATAGAAACTTTGTAATTTTTGAGGTTCTCTACTATTAAGGCCATGGTAGGCTTATCTTCTCTACTACTGATTTGAGAGCTCAGCTATGTAGTATATCTGAAATGCACATGGAGGCTTCCTACTGTTTGGTTTAAATGTCTAATTGATACTTTAATAGTCCACAACATCCCTCCTAAGAAAGCTAGGATTTTCCTCAAAAAGAACCCAGTATTTTGTGTTAATATTTGTGTTTAATTTTGTTGTTACAGACTATTCTTGTTCAGTCCTGGTATCCAATCACAGTGGCCACAAATTCTAGAGAACAGAAGAAAATATTAGCAAAATATTTGTTAGAAACTTCTGGTGACTTAGATGGTCTGGAATACAAATTACATGATTTTGGCTACAGAGGAGTCTCCTCCCAAGAGGTAAGAAACTGAAATGAACTTCATTTAATAAAATGTAGATTGTCAGTTAGAGTACCACTGTAAGTTTACAGTGGTAGAGTAAGTGTAAGTTTACTTACAGTGGTTAAGTTTACAGTTTCAAGACATTTGTTGGGATTGACCTTGATTCTAAGTAGTCCACCTTTTGAAATTCTGAAGATTCAGTCAACAGATACATATTAAGTATCTACTGTGTGTCAACCTCTGTTCCAAGGTCGATGAGCACACATTTCAGTCCTTTATTATTAGTTGGAAGGATGAACAGACAGACATAATAAATACATACCAATACAAATAATGAATGCTGCAAAGAAGCACAAGCACAGGATAAAGGAAGAGAGTGATGGGAAATAGAGGTTGCAAATTTGTTTTGTTTTCTTTCTTGAATTTTCGTTTATGGTTAATTTTCCAGACTGCTGGCATAGGGGCGTCTGCTCATTTGGTTAATTTCAAAGGAACAGACACAGTAGCGGGAATTGCCTTAATTAAAAAATATTATGGAACAAAAGATCGTGTTCCAGGCTATTCTGTTCCAGCAGCAGAGCACAGGTAAAATTCTATTTGTTTTCATCCTCTTATTAATTTTTTTTTCCAAGACCTAATGTTTTTTTAGTTTGGTATTTGTAACTCAGTGGTGTTTTGCTTTAACTGCAGAGCCAGGTGCTACAGTAAACCTTTGTGAACTCAGGCAATATAAATTCAGTATTTATACTTTGTGTAAAGATTAGTACTAGGGCTGGGCATTGTGGCTCATGCCTGTAATCCCAGATACTCAGGTGGTGGAAATCTGGAGGATTGCATTTCTAGATCAGCCCAGAAAAAAAGTTAGCTGACCCCTTCTCAATGAAAAGCTGGGTGTGGTGGGTACACCTGTCATCCCAGCTACATGGGAGGCATAAGTAGGAGGATTGCAGTGCATACCACCTCTGGGGAAAAAAATGCAAAACCATACCTGAAAAAAACGAAAGCAAAAAGGCTGGGATGGGAGATGTAACTCAAGTGGCAGAGTACCTTCCTGGCCTCCATGAGATCTAACACTTACATTGCCAAAACTTTAAGGAATTTTTTTCACTTGCTGTGCTGCCATATACTGATAGGTTTGTTGTTTTGTTTTGTTTTTTGATTAAATGAAGTCTGGAAGCACTACAAGAACTAGTCTCTTTCCCTGTTTGTTTTTTTTTACATGACCTGCCCTATTTTTGTCCTGGAAATTGTCATCTGGGCCCAATACCTGCAAATGTAGATAAGCAAGTAAGCTCTTTTGATGAAAGAAGAGTGTTCAAATTCTTTCTCTATTTTATTAAGAGCAAAAAAGGAAGTAATCCCCAACTAGAAGGAAATTGTAATCAAGACTACAGCTGTTATTGTCCTAAAGCTGCCTTTATTGAGAGTCTTTTTAATGCATATCAAACCTTACTTTTGGTTCATATAACAAAGTTATTTATTAAATTATTCAGGAATGTTTATTAAGTTCTCATATTTGGAAGTTGCAGGGTACTAAAACTTAACAGAGAGTTTAGAATAAAGCTGAGCATTGTTATTATCTGATTATATTAACTGACCAGCTTTCATGTGCAGGGCAGTCTGCTGGGTGCTGTAAAGTATAGAAAAACTGACGCCATCCTCAGGATAAAGATAGTCTACTATTAACATTCTGCTCTATTGGTTATGTGCTTTTAAAGAGGCATCATGAAGATGCACTAGTGGTACAAAGCAAGAAAGAAAGATCATACTCTACTAACAGGATCAAGAAAGTTTTTATAAGGCTGAGGGCATGGCTCAAGGTCCTGAGTTCAAACTCCATTGCCACCAAAAAACAAAAAAAAAAAGAAAGAAAGCTTTTATAGAAATAGAATGTGAAATCTTGACTTCTTAAAGAAATGATAAAATCTAAAGTATCTATTGGATGATAATTCATTCTGTAAGTAATATATTTTGCATGTTTACCATGCGTTAAGCATTGTGACAAAAGAGAAGACTGTTCAGGGAATAAGGGCTAAAGCAAATTCTGTAGAGCAGATAAAGTAGATTGAGAGGACAGGTTAGGGTTAATAAGATCCTTCAAGTTTATTTTGATGCTGTGTGTAACTATGTGAATATCATGCTAGCTTATTCTTAATTGGCATTTTTGGATGACATCAGGACCTCAAGTTTTTGAGTAAATAAATGTTACCAGATACAGATTTTAGATTATTTTGATAACAGAATATGGACTATAAAGAAAGAACAGAAGCTAGGCTTTTATAGGAATCTTAAAAGTCTTCAGGAAATGAGATCCAAAACCAAGTAACTCAGTGGATGAAAAGTAGATAAACATGAGCAATAGCTTAGGAGATAAAATTGCTAAAACTTGATGATTTGAGTTAGGGTTTAAGAGAAAGAAGATGCAGCTAACATTTATGAGCACTGTTAAATTGGCAGGGCCTTTCGTAAGTTTCATGGACAGGAAGAACTAAGGGTGTCATTAACAGATAAAAGTTTTAGGTTTAGAGTAATTCGGGGCATATGTACATATACATCTTTTTTAAAATATTGTAATCACATAGTATATTCTTCACTGATAGTGTTTCAGAGCAATGACATTAGGGTACCATGAATCTGAGAATAAGGATAATACCTTCTTTTGGACTTTCAGGGCAAAATGAAAAGGACACTTGTAGGTGGGCACCGAGTGAACATCCAGTATATTTTTATGGTCTTAAAATATTTACTCTATTTGACTTCCTCATATTTAAGAGTGCTTCAGTTTCTTCATCCAGTCAAACAAAGGAAGAGCTAACTTTTGCAACAGAATGCCATTGAGGATAAATGCTAACATCTAAAATAACTTCCAAATAAGAGAACTCAGGAGTCTGGACATAGAAATAATTCAGTTACATAACTTTTTTCCTCAAAATTTGGAAAGCTACCTAATTTGATGCTTGAAGTAAAGTGGGCAATAGAATGGGTAAAATTCACTCAAATACAACAAACATTTATGATCTCCATATGAACACTATACTGGAAAAGTAGGTGTTTCAGTGGGATTGTGCAGTGTGGGCCATAGGACTTGTCCCTGGGATGATGAAATGAAGACATTACCTCCTACCTAACAAAGTAGATCTGGAACTCAGAGGAAAGACATGTTCTATCATACAGATACTGAGAACTCTTATCACTGGAGTATTTTGAACACTTTGAGTGTTTCACACAGGGAGGTGTTACAGAGAGAGACAAGTGCCAGGTCAGATGGAAGAAGGAGAGCACAGCATCTGGGGGAGACTGAAGAAGCATCATAGAAATGGGGAAATTCCAAACAATTGAAATGTGGAAGATGTCATTCAAGTCAAGAGAAAAGAAAGCTTGAGGAAAGTTCACATACCATGGAGAAAGCAAGTAAGATGAGGACTGAAAATTGACAATTGTTTGCTAGACATGATACACACAAGTTGCAAAGTTAGGTGACTATTGATACAACTTTAGTAAATGGTAGCTGCATTTATAGTGACATCTTAACTGTAGGTATTCACTCTTGTAAAGCTGTCCACTGTTGCTGATCACTGAGTTACTAAATCTCTCCCTTAAAAAGAGGACACTAGCAATTCTGCATGTGAGGACAGGGCCTTTCTTCACCCTTAACTTTTCCTTTTAGCCTGGATATGCTTATGTGAAGTAGAGAAATGACATCACATCTACTGACAGCCTCTGTTTTCTAAGAGGAGCATTCTCTATGAAACGAGATTTATATAAATCAACCCTTTCTCAATTTCAGACAAGTAGTCTCAGCGTAGCTCCGTGTTTATAGTCCTGAAGTATATCTAAGCTACTTCCGACAACCCAAAACCATTGACAATGTGAGAAAAGGTATTTACTCCAATCCTTTAGAAAAAAAAGTAAATTGTGTAAGATATCAATTTCAGACTTAAATTAGTATAGTTCTGTTAGTCAACTTTCTGTCACTATGAAGAAATACCTGAGAAAATCAAGGTAGATTTTATGTGAGAAAGGTTGAACTAAGATTTATTTTGGCTCATGGATTCAGCTCACAGTTACCTAGCCCCTTCATTGTAAGTCAGGATTTCATCCTGGTGGGGAAGGCATGGTGGAGCAAAGCTACTCACCTCATAGCTGCTGGGAAACAAAGAGAGTAGGGGAGGAAGGGCTAGGATCCCAGTATCCCATTCAAGGGCATGTCCCCATTGACCTTCCTCTAACTAGGTCCCACCACCTCCCAGTAGCACCACCAGCTGGGAACCAAGCCTTCAAACACATGAGCATTTGAGGGACAGTCCAGATCAAAATTGTAACAAGCTCTTTAAACAGTTTTGAGGTAAGCTTATACTTACACCAACTTTATAATAAATGGGCTATCTACTGAGGAGAGCAGGGTAGAGGTCAAGACTGAAAAAGTAGGGAGAAAGATTGTTTGGTATAAGGAAATAGTAATTTTCCAACTCGTGATTAAATTCTATTTAATAATATTTTGATTGCTTACATTATAATTAACCAAATACTTAAAATTGCACATTAAATATTAATTCACTAAGAAAAATCATTATTGAGGACATTGCAAAAATCATGATAGTCATTCTTGCCTAATAAAAATCTTCATACTTTATTTCCCATCTAAATTATGTTTTGCTCAAACTAAATATTAAAATTCTTATTCCTTAGACATATATTAATTAGTGATAGGTAACCTGTAAGTGAAATAAGTGACTGTTACTGGCTATTTGAAGATTTAACAGGCAGAGTTAGTCGACTATAAATAAATGGTATAGTATAAATAACTGCCTCTAAGATTTTGAAAAGTAAAAAAGACAAAATATATATTGCTGCTGTTGTTGGTATGTGACTTCAGAAATTCATAGTTCTTGGATTGCCTAACAAAATAATGGGGTTATGTGTTCATTGTTTTTAACATCATGACATGAAGTATGGAGGGCATTCAGGAGATCCTCGCTGATTTTAAATGAGTAGATTCAGGGATACCAGATTTATTTTTTAAAAAGTTTAAATTGGTTGAATGTGATTTAAAAGCTAAATAACTTAATGACTGTTGAAACAGAATATGGTTACTTGTAGTGTTAAAAACAAATTGATCAAGGGATCATTTAGTCAAATACTGTTTTTTGCCATATGATGTGTATTCCTTAAACTAAATCGTTCGCCTTCTCTGTAACATTGATGTCATATAGTAAATGTAAAATAATGGGTTAATGGTGCTTCAGGAATAGATAATGTGTCTGCCTAAGTAAATACATATTTTATTTTGTTTTCTAGTACCATAACAGCTTGGGGGAAAGACCATGAAAAAGATGCTTTTGAACATATAGTAACACAGTTTTCATCAGTGCCCGTATCTGTGGTCAGCGATAGCTATGACATTTATAATGCGTGTGAAAAAATATGGGGTGAAGATCTAAGACATTTAATAGTATCAAGAAGTACAGAGGCACCACTAATAATCAGACCTGATTCTGGAAATCCTCTTGACACTGTATTAAAGGTAAATTTTAATATCTAACTTGATTATTAAAATGCCTATAGACCAACCGCATCAACACTACTTTTAATTTCATTTATATTCGCACCATTTCAGACCTTTCTGGACCAATCTCCTTATTTTTAGAGTTACAATCCAAAGAGAGAGAATAATAGATTTGCCCAAGGTCACACAATAATAGAGAAAGGATACTAAGAGTTATGTTATGGGTTATTTATATACTGTCAGTAGGTACTACTGGATAGATTATTTCTTACATGCCTTCAAAATTAATACCATTACCATAAGGCCCTGTGATTTGGTCATCAAGTTTATTTGTGGTTTATTTCTTTTGTTACAAGTCACCGTTGCACTTTTGAAGTTGTTAGTAGGAGATATATGTGCAGGGTGATAAGGAATACAAATAATTTAAAAATACTTTTGAGGTAGTGGTTCTTAAAATACCATTGATTCTTAATGTAGCAATGTTGTATTTTTTTTAGGATCAAGATTCAGTTTGCCTTCTTAATAAAGCACTAGTAATAGCAGGTATTAATTGATGCCTACCACTAGAAAAATACTGTGTTAGGTGCTTTACATTGAAAGTGTCATTTAGTCTTGTCAAATTACCCTACGATAAATATTACTGTCTGTTTTAAAGAAGAAACAGAGAGTTGCTCAAGGTCACACAAATGTAAAATAAAAAGCCCAGGTATCCAGTGTAGGTCTTTTGGCTGCAGCCTTCCTACTTTACCACTGTATTTTTTCAGCTAATGAGCAATTACCCTGAGGAGGTAATGATGATCAATCCCCCTGAGGAGGGGGAGACATAGGTACAGGGAGGTCTTTTAATTCTGTTAAATGATGTGCCAGTATTAAACTTCTTGACTTAGCCTTAAATATTTAGTTTTACCCAACTAAACAGGTTTCACATTTTTATTACAGTTAGTTATAGGAATAAACTGAGTCATGTACATGGAGTTTTCTCATTGTTAGGATCTTTAAGCAACTTATTTAGGAAAAGGATGTTATTGTTTGGGAAAGGGAATATGCATTGTAGAACTTTTGTATCTCACCAAGTTTTCCTGAAAAATACTTACATACTCCTTTAAAATACGTATGTGTTAATCTAGTGGATGTTTTTCTTGAATCTGTATAATCTAAAGATGTGAAGGAAAAAACTAGTTTTGAGCTACCTTATGCTATAAATAAATTTGATAGGAAAGAACATGCCTATTTCTAACATCAAAAAGGATCATGTTAGAAGCTTTATATACAGTAGTATAAAATGTTTTAAGTAATTGAATTTTTATATTCTCAAGATTATCTAACAAGGTAAATCATTTTTTAACTTTGGAAAACTTTTATATTTTTTTCCAGTTTCAGTTATTTGTCTTGTATGTGTGTTCTTTCTTACAGGTATTAGATATTTTAGGTAAGAAGTTTCCTGTTACGGAGAACTCAAAGGGCTATAAGTTGCTGCCACCTTATCTTAGAGTTATTCAAGGGGATGGAGTAGATATTAATACCTTACAAGAGGTATGTATTTTATATTAAAAGTTCTAATAAGAAAATCCTTGTAATTCCTTTTTATTTCATAAACATGGATAGTGTAAATACAATTATGAGTCTTACACTTGAAGTGTTTATGGTGGTATGTCTTTGCTGTGCTTTGTTTAAAATTTGAAATAATAGCTTAAAATATAGAAACACCAGCCACAGCATACTTCTCCAGTCCTCATTGGCCACCCTGAATGATAATCATAAAGAGGTTATCACTAAGAAACAAAATGTCGTGACTCACGCCTGTAATCCTAGGTAATCAGGAGGCAGAGATGAGGAGGATCGTGGTTCAGAATCAACCCAGGCACATAGTTTGCGAGACCCCGTCTCAGAAATATACAACACAAAAAAGAGCTGGTGCCTGCCTAGCATATGTGAAACCCTAAGTTCAAACCCCAGTGCTCGCCCTCACGCCCAAAAAGAATGAGCAACACTTGGGTCACAGAATATTCCTTACAACATAAAACAGAATGCCTTGATTGCTCATACAGGTCAGAGTTTTCATAGAATGGAGCATCATATACTCTTAGCAAAATAAAATTTGAATGGTGTTAATGGGTGCTTTTTCAGAAACTATAATAGTTTTGTTACTTCTAAATTAAGTTTTGACTGTCATCACTATTATTATTACACTTAACTAAATAGCATGCTCTATTTTGTTAAAACTTTTGCCTCCTTTGTTTCCAAAATAAGATTAAGAACCATAATTTCATTTCAGCTAATAGCTTACATACTCCATAAAAATTAAGAATACTATTAACAATATCACATGGACTGTCTACTATCATAAACCTCTGTCATTTTGATATATGCCAGTCTCAAGTGGTATATAGCTGTGTAACACAAATAATTAGAGGATTTTCGATTTGGAACATCTAGGGTTGTAGCTCAGTGGTAGAGCACTTGCCTAGCATATACAAAGCCCTGGGTTTGATCCCTAGGCCTGCAAAAAAAAACCAAAGTTTGTGGTTAAAGTCCATACCCAGATTATAAGTAGTTTTCCAAAGGTTGATTTGAAAAGGAGAACCATGGTGTATACAGACAGTATACACTGGTCATGGGTGTCTTTGGAGTTCCAAAGTGAGATCTGAAATAGATCTCTCTTGCAATAATAGAAATAAGGTTTCTTCCACCTATTCTCCCAAACTGTGTTGCTTACATGGGACCTCCCTCAGCTTCTCTAAGACATTGGATATTGGGACCTTAAGAGAATTCACGGGTAAAGGAAAGAAGAAAAGTCTAGGGTGAAAAGATGAAGAGCCTTGAGTATAGAAATCCCAGTATACACATTTAATTGCTATTGTCCACTCAACTGACAATTACTTGCCTTGGTACCATCTGACTACTATACTTGCATTTGAAGCAATGTAACAGGTACCCTGATAAGTGTTTCTCTCAGTGAAATAATACAGGCCGAGTTCTATACCCGTTCCAGAAACCCTATTAGCCAGGAGCTCTTGCCATTGCTTGTGTCAGTCCTTTGTTCCAGTGGTCACCTGTCTAGGTTGGGTTGTTCAATCAGATATTTGAACTTATTTCTAAAAACTAAAGCTCTTTCTCTCCTTTATTTTTCCCCCTTGTTTGTTTTTCAAGTGAACTTTTAGAATGTATATATGTTGTTAAAGCTGGGAATCATTAAAACTTTGGCTTATTTTTTAACTACACAAACAAGAGGTTGAATACTGAAACAAATTCTCTTTGGCACTGATAAACCTTAAACAGAACAGTCAGAATTAAACAGTTTTATGTTGATGCATATGTATTCATGGGATAAGAGAATATCATAAAGAAACTGAACCTGTTGCTTTAAACTAAGGAACAGTACTTGATTTATTCATATTGAAAGTGGGTCAAGCAAATGTTTGTAGAAGTAGGAAAAGGAATTTATCTAGCAAAAAAAGCTATCAGTTTCTCTCTGAAGACTTTGCCATTTACAGGTCTCCCTGTGACATACCATGAGGTTTATAGTGTAACCCCATTCTAAGTTTTTGTGTTAACACTGTGAACCAAAATAAATCTGCTTTTGTATTAGACAGAATACAAAGTGTCCATCTTCTCTTCCTGTTTAAGTCTTTGGGATTCAATCTCCTAGGGTGTCATTGAAATCTCTCCATTGGAGTGTTTCATTAATGACATTACAATAGTATTGAATTCCCAGAATTGGCGAGAGGAAATACATTTGTCCAACATATTTTAAACATTTTTCTTTCTAGGCTTATTTATATCTTACTATTTTATGCATAGGTCAACACTTTTTTCCTCTTTCTTCCTTTTCAGCTATTCTACTATTCTTCTCCTAGAATCTTTTTCTCCACATTTCTTGAATAATTCCCTTATATGTTATAGCTTTGGTCCATATACTTAATAGAAGACATTGGTTTTATGTAAACCTTCAAAGGAAAAAATTATTTTTTGACCAGTATTCATAAGATACTGCAAAAGCACTTGCAGATTGGAACATATGAATTAAATGGTCATAAGAAAAAATACTTAAATTTTAATATCATAATATGAATCCTCAGTTAAGGTAGATACCTTGGTATGAAATGTGAAAATGTATTACTCAATAAAAAATATCTAAGAGTAATATTTTATCAATTTATATCTAATCAGATTTCCTTCTGATTTTTATAAATGGTTTTAAGAAATTTTGCTTAGTTATAATTTCCCAATAGAAAAATTCACTTTAGCTCCATCTTATCTCAACTTCTATAACTTCTGATGAAGAAACTTGACCTGAAATACAGTGATAATGATATTAGGTGGTCTTTGTCATTTCCACATGTGCTTCTGAAATCAGTGACAGGTCTGACACTGTTTTTACTATATTTCACTCAAACCATTTTATCTTCTGTTTATCTTTCTTTTCCTCCCTTTTCGTTTTCTCTGCATTTCTCTCATCACTTTGTTTATAGTTATCTCTGAAAAATCTGAATTTAGGAGCCTAGGTTGGATATCTTTGGATTTGGATACAATAACAAAGACACGAGGCTGAATTTGCGTACAAGCTAAAGAAGCCACTTTAAAATAAATTACATGTGTTTCCATCTTGATTCTTCTATTTAAAAAACCCATTCTTCTAGTACAAAAAGGTAGAATTAGGTGGTTGGAATATTAAAATGAAGTTGCATTTCTCAGTGTAGGTTTGTTAGAAGATAAAGGTGCTTGGGGCTTTGTTTCTAAAGAGAAATGGCCAGTTGAGACTATTGGCATTTGCGGGAATGTGGTAAATTTATACTAATGATTCACATATTAAACTTACCGTTTTCTGTTCACTTTTGAGAATTCTTAAAATAAAACAGAACTAGTTCATCTACTTACTTCTTGGCTGTTTTCATGAAATGCAAGGAATGGTTACTAAATATCAGTTGCTGCCTTCTTAAAAGTGATTGGATTTGTTAAATAGTAGGAAGATGTAAATAAGCCCTATTCAGGAGAAATACAAATGGCAATCTTCACTGCAGCTTTTAAATCTTATGTCCCTTGAAAGAACTACTTTTAACCACCAGAACTGACTTGTAGATAATCATTCTCCCCAAAATGATCCAGTCGTAAATCGTAATGCCTAGAACATCCACTGCAACACCAGCCAGAGTAAAAGAACTCTACCAGTATCACAGGTGTTTATGTGGAGGGAAGAGTATTATTTTATACTCTTTGCCACCAACAATCATTGACTTACATGTCCATTACCTATAGCATGCAGCGTGACTCTGTTACAACACGATGTCTTATGACAGTCATCCCTAGAGAAATGTTTTGGTCTCATTGCTTTTGCTGATGTCATCTAGGCAGTAACTCAAGGAGGTGGATAAGACAGATTGATTCAGAATCCTAAGATAATTACAGCCATTTTTCTCACTCCATCTCATTTCCTTCACTCTCCCAACCCATCCACAATGATGACAACAATACAAATTCAAGAACTGAATAAAATCTCCTCCTTCTACACGTACACATCTTAGGCTGCCATTTCGGGGTGAATGGCCTTTAAAAAGAAAATGTGGAATTTAACTGTTTAGGCCTTATTCTTGCCTAATTATTGACTGTTACAAAATAGCTATAGGATGCTTCATTCATTAATATTCCCCTTTGAAAATGATTACTGTCCTCTTCCAATTACTTAGGTTTTTGTCTGTCTCTTTTTAAATCTAGATTGTAGAAGGCATGAAACAAAAAAAGTGGAGTATTGAAAATGTTTCCTTCGGTTCTGGTGGAGCTTTGCTACAGAAGTTAACAAGAGATCTCTTGAATTGTTCCTTCAAGTGTAGCTATGTCATAACTAATGGTCTTGGGGTATGTCTTTCAGTTTTTATTCCTATGTTAGCACATTAACTATCTAGGCAGATACAGTTACAGGCAGAGAACAGTATGATCTTGGACTGTTAGTTTATCAGGCACCACTGACTTCAACTTAATATCAAGAAAGAAGGAAACTTGGAAAAAGGAGAAGCAATAAAATGAAAGATTATTTAAGAGAGAGAATTCAGGTCAGTCATTACCCATTGCTTTGATATATATCTTTGGCTCAAAAAGTTGACCATATCTGAGTAGGAATGTCAGCTAACCTGGCCATCATCTATTAAAGAGTAGCAAGTATGTAATCACTATCAATACCCTTTTAGGAACGTAGGAATGAGGTTCTGATCATGGTACCAGAATCATGTTCATTAGCCAGAGAACAGTTAAACAATACCCCTCGTCTTCCATAGCCTGTTGCCTAGGGAGTCTGGAACAGTGGGTGGGAGAAGCTAAAGACCCTGAAGAAGACCTGAACTGAGTCTCTGTGTGCTCCTTTCTTTGGGAAGTTTGAAGATTGTCTTATTTATTGCTCTTATTCCACTGTGATTGCTAGTAACATCAACATCTATTAAGCCCTTTGCTTCTAACAATAATAAGGTCACAGTAACAAGTAACAAAAGAGAAAGATAATGAAATAGGAGAGCTTTACCTTAGTAATATCCTAGTCCCCTCTTCAAAGATCTTACTATGTAAATGTAAGCATATATATATATATATATATATATATATATATATATATATATATATCTTTAGTAAGTCAGGTTTTTGTTTTTCAGTAGCCTAGCATACTGTGAATTATACTTAGTATCAGTTTAAAAGACAATTTGTAATATAATATGGGTCACATTAAAATTCTCAGACATCAACATGGGTATTCTTTGTGGCGGTAAGAAAGGATATCCAAAGCTTGGGCTCTTCCGAGTAGATGATTGCCCTTCAAAAAGGCAAATGTGGATTTGTTCAGTTACCTCTAAACCTATAGAGTACCTTAGAACTTACATACAAATTTACGTGTGTTTGTATTTTTTTAAGTGATGCTAAGGAGCTGGGGATGTAACTTGCTTAGCATGTGCAAGTACCAGGGTCCTATTCCCAGCACATGGAGGGAGGAGGAGGCCAACCCTATTTAATAAAGCGGTGCTAGGGATCAAACCCAACGCCTTACACATGCTAGGCAAGTGCTCTACCACTGAGCTGTATACTTTTTTTAATTGAGTGGTGGACTTTTCTGAATAGTCTTTTTTTCTGTCTTTCTTAACTTGGTTTTCAGATTAATGTCTTCAAAGATCCAGTTGCTGATCCCAACAAAAGGTCCAAAAAAGGCCGATTATCTTTACATAGGACACCAGAAGGAAATTTTGTTACACTTGAAGAAGGAAAAGGAGACTTTGAGGAATATGGTCACGTATGTATCTTTACTGATTGGGGATTCTGTTTAGTTTGTTCACTGCAGTGGATTGGCCCTCCCAATTAATAGGTTTTCGTGTTGTATGTTTTAAATTGTTTTCAGAACAGTTTTGTAACAAATAATTAAAAGTGCTTTTCACATACTGGCTGTATGGTATGATGACCTTCAACAAGCTTGTGTATTTAGTCTTACTATCAATTAGCAGTGAATCCTTTCTGAAGGATACTCATAAGGATGTTGTTCTTAGGCTTCTCACAGCTATTTATATTGTACTAAAACATTGGTAATTTTGATAGGTAGCAAACAGAGGAGCTATTCACACCCTAAAATGTTTTTGAAGATAATTGCTTTTTAAATCTTAATAATATCCAGCTCAGATAGTTTGCTTTACTTTCATTTCATTCTCATAGCACTCTCTGAACGTAAGGCAAATTATGTTACCTCAGTAGTAGAATATGTGAAAACAAGGTGAGTTGATTCTGATTACATAACTACTAAATGGTAGAACTTTAAGTTTTTTGATTGAAGTCAATCAAACTGAGAAAAAGTTTGTAGTATGTATGCTGAAGTAGTCCACATGATCTAATTGGTTTTAGCACACAAAAATTACATGTACCTAAATGTTAGAAAAAAACTCTGGTGTCTAATCTACTGGAAAATAAAACTACTTGTGTGTACTCACATTCTCCAAAAAGTTTACACAAAACAAATACACTGAGTTATGATACTTTATACACTATACCAAACTTACTGCTTACAACATGGCCAGAACCAATGAGGTAACTATATCTCTAATGAAAAATACATGAATTTGTAAATAAAACTTGTAGAATTAGATCCCTTTATATAACCTGCCAGGTAGTTCGTTTGAGTAGGTTTCACTTTACCTGTTAGAACTACCAAGATTTTGCTGAATTAGGTTATCTTGGATGAACTAGTCACTTGAGACTAAGTCAAAGTGAAAATACAAGTATACAAAAGATATACCTAGACCATCTGAGGTACTAATCTATTTGTAATCATTTAGGCATTTGATTTTTAGTTTAAAATTTATGAAAGAACATGGTACGCCTAGAGTAGTATAATTTGAAGCAGCACAAAAATGTTGGATAATGTCATATGTACCTTCAGAGTAAATGGAAAATTAAGATTACTTCTATGGATTTTTCAAAAAGAAACTAGAGGTAGATAATTCCTGAGTGGCTGTGCCAAACCTAAAGGTAATTTTTTTCTCATTCTCTTGTTTTTATTACCCATGTCTGGATCAAGTGGACTTTGTAGTCTTTAACTCAGTCATATTAATGAAACAAGGAATAAATACCTGGTGTTTTTTGGGTGTTTTGGGGGGGTCATTTTTACACCAAAATTTAATGACTGGCAAATTTATTAAATTTTTAGACAAATAAATTCAATCAGTATTGATTCTGTTGGCCAGGTTCAAGGGAAAGTTTAGCATCAGCAGGCTTTCCTTGAAGTTGTCAGTAATGTAGCAGGGATGGTGATAGTCCTGCTAACAACTGAGCTTTTTGTTTTTCCTTTTAAGAAAACTGGCTTAAGAATGTCTTACTGTAATAACCTCCCAACTCTAAGTTGAACATTGTCAACATCTTTGTTTAGCTGATTACTTAGATAGATTTATCAAATTATAATTCTGATATTTTGCTCAATGGTCTGTTTAATCATCACTAAATTTACATTCTACAGGATCTTCTCCATACTGTTTTCAAGAATGGGAAGGTGACAAAAAGCTATTCATTTGATGAAGTAAGAAAAAATGCACAGCTGAATATCGAACTGGAAGCAGCACCTCATTAGGCTTTGTTTTAGGCCTAGGTGTGCATGCGTGTTTGTATACATGCATGCATACATACATGTGTACACCTGTGTGTATGTGATAACATAGTGTTTATTGTACAGATATGTGGGGTTTCTTTGTGTTTTATGATACATTACAGCCAAATTATTTGTTGGTTTATGGACATACTGCTTGGTTTTTGTTTTTGTTTTTCCAGTGTTTTAGATGATACCATATTAGGAAATACACATAACCATGTAAAAGATTAATGCTAAAGCAAGCTTTTTAGGGCCCTTTGCCAATAGATAGTAACTCAATCTGGTATTGATCTTTTCACAGATAACAGAACTGAGAAACTTTTATATATAACTAAATATCACATAAAACGGATTTGCATAAAATTACCATGATTGCTTTATGTTTATATTTAACTTGTATTTTTGTACAAACAAGATTGTGTAAGATATATTTAAAGTTTCAGTGATTTAACAGTCTCTTTCCAACTTTTCATGATTTTTATGAGCACAGACTTTCAAGAAAATACTTGAAAATAAATTACATTGCCTTTTGTCCATTAATCAGCAAATAAAACATGGCCTTAACAAAATTGTTTGTGTTATTGTACAATTTGGAAATTATGTCAGGACATACCCTATAGAGTTACTAACCTCACTGCCCCTTGTAGAAGATCTCTGAATCATTCTGCATTAAAGAAAATAATGGTTCTTACTGGAATAACTAGGCACTGTACAGTTATATACCTTGGTCATTGTAATGTACCAGTGAAATGCCAAATTTGAAAGGCCTGTACTGCAATTTTATATGTGGCTGTAATATGCACCTCAAGATTTTAAGGAGATAATGTTTTTAGAGAGAATTTCTGCTTCCACTATAGAATATATACCTAAATGTAAAATATTGACAAAAGTGGAAGTAGTGTATTTTAAAGTAATTATGCTTCTGAATTTATTTTTCATATTCTATAGTTGGTATGACTTAAATGAATTATTGGAGTGGGTAGTGAGTGTACTTATTTTTAATGTTTTGATTATATTTTTCATTAAGTTTTTAAAAAATTAAATTGGATATTAAACTGTATGGACATCATTTTTTAATTTTAAATTGAATCCCTCAATAATTAATAATCAAGTTCTTACATGAGGATGTTACCCCAGTGAGAAACATGATAACCTAAGATTTAATTGAAGAATCTTAACTAAATATGTTAGAGTGGCTAGTTCAAAGTGCTCAACATCAAAATGTATAAAATGATTAACTGCTAGATTCTCAGTCAGTCATCACATCTCACTAGAGACCAGTTTCTTCCAAATGACTCATGTAGGTCTGTTATTATAAGGCAAGAGTTAGCCGACTATGCCCTACAGACCAAATTTGGTGGACTGTTCTTCACTTGTAAGTACATATTATCTATGGCTGCTTTCTCACATGGGGGTAGAAGTTTGAGTGGTTGCAATGCAGACCAAATGATCCACAAAGCTTCAAACATTACACAAAATTACAGAAAAAATTGCTAGCCTATATTCTAAAAGGAGTGCAAGCCTTTGCATTTTAAGAAAATGCTGATTTTCAGAGAAGGGAAAAGGCCATCTTACTTTTGTCCTTTCTCATTTAAGAATTTGATTCCAATAGACTGATTTTTTTTTTAAGAAAAGCTTTAACAACATTTTAGACATTGAAAAGCCATAAATCATTTGTCTAAAACATTGAGAAAGTGTTTTGTCACTAGAATCTACTAAGGTGAGCTATCCTTGTTCAATATCTTTTATAAGTAGCATTAGAAAGAATATAGGTTTTTGCAGAGATTCTAAATACTTAGGAAGAACAATAAGCATTATTCACTTTTAGTAAGAGTCTTCATACTATAATTCATGCTAAAAATAGTTTTAAGTTATTTTTTAAATATACTTAAGATTAGTAGTATTAGACAAAACTTTACAAAATGTATTAAGGGGCTTATAGAAAATTGAAAGAAATTATTATCAGTAACAACTTTGATAACCATAATTTTGGCCATGCTTAAACATTGGAATTTTATCAGTCAGTATTCTTTGTGTTCCTTGAGTTTCAGCAGCCAACATTCAGTGAATGCTAAAAACTATTCATTTGTACACTAACATAGATCAGGAGGTGGAATGATTAATTCTGTTAGCTCTTGAGCCACTTGAATCTGATTTTCTGTCATTAGAGTAGTTAGTATTTGGCCATCTCTCTTCTCAGCACCAAATGGTTAACATGAAGGTCAAATAGAATTGTGCTATGTGTCACCCTTAAATCAGCCTGACTCTCCCTGACAAAAGCATATGCCATATATGAGTTTAAAACATTAGATTTGTAGTTGACATTAATCCCCCTCAATTCATAATTTCAAATAGGGGGTAGGTGTTCTGTGTTAAGACTTAATTTATTTGAACCCTCTACTTAAAATGGTTTTTATGATTATCCTTTATTGCTTTTCTTGATATAAATTGTTATGAAAATTTTTTTATAATGAATCCATCTTGGAAGATGAGAGAAAAATAGCAAAATATTTATTGTTCTGTTTAGCATAATTCAGAACTCAAACAAGTATTTTTGTAGTTTTACATTCCTTTTTAACCCACTCAATGGAGAACATAAAATTTCTCCCAAGTTGTATGTTAAATCAGTTCTAATATGTATTCAAGATTAAAAACAAACATGTAATAAATATGGAAATAAAGTTTAGTTCTATTAGTTGAAATTTGTGTGCTTCAAATAATGCCATTTCCAGACCTACTTTTTCTAGAGTTTCCTTCAAAGAGCTAGAGGATAACAGAGGAGAAAGTGTCAAAAATGACTCCACTTTCTGTCAAAATGGATTGGCAGTGCCTCTTACTAAGAACCTTGGGAGGATACCAGATTCGTGGAGCAAGAGCACAATTCTCTGTTACGGTTTGAGATGTCCTGGAGACATTTTAATGTTCATAGCAAGCAGGTAATTGGAGATACAGGTTTGAGGACAGAAAGGTCTCAGGGGATGTCTGAAATGTGTATGTATATGTGATATATATGTGTTTGTTGTAGGCATACTAGAGAAGACTTGACTGAAGACCACAGGCCAAATTCAGCCCATGATCTGTTTTTGTAAATAATTTTATTGGAATATAGCTTTACCAATTCACTTGGTTGTGCTCATTGGCTGCTTTCATGCTACAGTGGCAGAGTTGAGTGGTTACAAAATAAAGTATGGCCTGTAAAGCCTGAAATAAGGATTGTCTGGTCCTCTACAGAAAAAAAAACATGCTAATCTGCAATAATGAAAGGAGGACCTAGAACCAAACCATGAGTAAGTAGGTTAAATGGCAGAGCATCAACAGGCAAAGGAGACTAACAGTAGGAGCTAAAGAGGTGAGAGGAAAGCCAGCCAGGATGAGTAAAGTCAAAAATCACAGGAAGTTTTTCAGCTCAGGTGTTAAATGCTACTGAGAGATTAAATATTGTTCAAAGCATCCACTGGATTAAGCATCTGCAGTAACTAGTGCCTTAGAGATGTTCCCTTCAGGTAGAGGATACAGATGTCAGATGGGATGTGAAGAGAAAAGAGAACAGTCACTTTCCTGTGTCTCTCTAGTAGCTGCTTTATCTCTGAAAATGGGTTCAGGAAAGGGGGAGAAGTTGAAAATGAGCAAAAAAGGTTGGGTGATGGGTTAGAGAAAACTAGGATCCAAAACAAAACACTGGTGAGGGGCTGCCCCACAAGGGAGGAGGTCCTCCTATGGTAAAAAAGAAGAAAATGATGAGTGCAGATGCTGCTTTGGTTTTCTTGTGAACCTAGAGACCAGATCCCACTCAAAATTGGTTTGTATTTTTTTTCATCCTGGCAAAAGAAGTATCATTCTTTGAAAACAATTCAATTAAAGACCATTTTCCTGAGCATTTGTTTTCAGTTCTGTAATTTGCTACAGAACTGTCATTTTTTTGGGCATAAACTAAGGAATGTTTTGCATTTTTTTATTAAAATGAATTATCCATTGTACTATTTGTGAACCTTTCAGATGAATTGGAAGCAATAACTTGGGACACAGTTCCGAAGAAATCATTCAGCATATGGCACAAAGCAAGTAGAAAAAGGTGCATAAAAGTGAAAAGACCTAACATCGTCCTCAAAAAAGTGAAAAGAACTAACACTGTCCTATCAAAGTGAAAAGACCTAACATTGTTCTCAAAAAAGTGAAAAGACCTAACATTGTCCTCATAAAAGATTTAGAGACTGACAGAATAGCTCAGGAAATGAGCCAAAACTGACAGATGGGATTACATCAAATTAAAACATTTGACAGGGGATTAATATATAAAGAACTCAAAAAATTAAAACACTATAAGAATAATCCAATCAATACATGAGCAACTGAATTGAACAGGTAGTTCTCAAAAGAAGTGCAAAGAGTCAACAAATTATGGAAAAAGGTTCAACATCCTCAGCCATCAGAGAAATGCAAATCAAAACTACATTGAGATTCCATCTCATCCTAGTCAGAATGGCCATCATCAACAAAACGACACTGGAGAAGATGCAGGGACATGGAGAGAGGAACTCTTAATACACTATTTCTCAGAATGTAAATAAGTGCACCCACTATGGAAATCACTATGGAGATTCCTCAAAAACTAAAAATAGGTAGCCCCAAAAAATAAAACCAACAAAAATAGAAAGCCTGAGTAGTGGCTCACAGCTGTAATCCTAGTGACTCGGAGGCGGAGATGAGGAGGATCACAGTTCCAGGTCAGCTCTAGCAAAAAAGTAAGCAAGACCCCCATCTCAACAAAAAATGTTAGGTGTGGTAGCATTCACCTGTCATTCCAGGTAGGCAATAAGTGTAAAGTAGGAGGATTGCAGTCCAGGCTTGCTGGGGCAAAAGTGTGAGACCGTACCTCAAAAATAAAAGGGGCTAGGAGCATGGCTTAACTGGTACAGTGCCTTCCTAGCAAGTGAAGGGTCCTAGAGAAAATGTGGCATGTTCACACAATGGAGTATTATTTTAGTCATAAACTCACTTGCAGGAAAATATGCAGAATTAAAAGTCTGGCAAAGTAAGCCAGACTTAGAAAGACAAATGTCACATGTCTTCTCTCATATGCAGAATCGAGATTTAAAAATTTTTAGAGACATGGAGTAGCAGGGAAACAATTTGGGAAGAGAAAGGGGACCAGGGGATGGGAAGATAAGAGGGTTATAGAGGGGTATGAATATGACCAAAGTACACTATATATGCACATGAATAAAATGTCATAATGAAACCCATTCTTGAGTATAATTAACATATGCTAATATTTTAATTTATTTTAAAAAAGAGATAAGGGCTCAGGATTTACCTGAACTAATGAGAAACAACCATGTAAAAGTCAAAGCTCAATGAATTGCAACCAAGAAATCCACACCCAGACACAGTGAAACTGCAAATTGAGAATCACAAAGGCAGTAATCTTAAAAGCCGCCATTGAAAACTGAAGGAAGGAGATTATTGATCTCACCAGCAACAATGGATGCCATAAACATTCCAAGGCCCCAAGAAGAAGTAACTCAACACCAGACCCTATTCCCACCAAAACTGTGTTTCTAGAACCAGGATAAAGTAAAGGCTTTTGGGACACCAAAAACTGAAATTTCGCTATTAGCAATGCCATCACTAAGTGAAATTCGGAGGGATGAGAAATGGAGAGCAGTGCTGAGGGCGCTGAGGACTCCAGAAGAGCTTGGGCCTTCCTCCTCGTCCTGAGGAGGAGTCCAAGCCGAATGCGTGTGTGTGGCGAGTTTTATTACAGAAAAGGTGGAAGGGGGTTACAGGGTGTGGTCTCTGCCAGGTGGAAAAAAAGGGGGGGGGGATTTTTATTTTAGGTTGTTTTTATATCATCCTTAACTTGGAGGGAGGAAGACCCATGTCATTCCCCATCTCCAGTGGCCTTCGGGTCAGGGGGAAGAGCTGGGCGGACTCACGCACACACCTATGCTAATTCTCAGGTACCCCAAGTCCATGCGGGAGGAAATTTTCACTCTAGTTTAACAAAGGATTTAAAATTGAAATGGAGCTGTGGGGTGGCGGGGAGGTAAGTGAGGTGCTCTAAATGAGGCTGTAGGTTACTTTTCCCTAATGTCTAGTCTGCCTCGGTAGTAATGATGTTAAGGACCTAAGTGATATTTACACAGGTAGAACATAAATCAAGAGCAAGGTGAGTGGAACTTAAAAGGTTCTATGGTGCTTAAATTTAAAGAGGCTAAAGTTACTGGTTATTTTAGACTATGATAAATATGTATGTTACTAATAGGCATGGAAATGAAGTATTATTACTTTCAAAGTAACAAAGGTCAGATGCTTAAATTTTTCAAAAGAAACAAAAGAGAAAAACAAACAGGCAAGAAAAAACAGCAGAAAAAAGGATTGCTCATGAATTCTATACACACAATATGAATTATATTTATACCTATACACACTTAAAACCTGCAAAAGATTAAATTTTAAAATTTGATTTGCTACTTAGAAGAGTTACATCTAAAATAGAAGAGCAGCAAGGTTAAAAATATTTTTAAAGGAACAATTCAATGAAAATCATTGCTGCAACTTTCCTTCTCATGACATTAATGACTTGTGTGCTCAAGGTTACTGACATCATTGGTCTCCAGAACAGTGTGCCAACAAGTGTGGTGCCCAAAGGAACAGAGCATTCCAGCATTCCAGCTGTGGCTTTATTTACTAAGTTTGGGGACAATAATTGCCTCAGGCCAAGAGCACTCTCAGTCTCCTCTCAGATGCTACTGCTCAGGAAGCCACATTTAGAAATGTCAGAGGACAGTTCATGCAGGAAAAGATGCATTCTGAGAAATAGTGCCTGCTTCCTGCTATTTTTCTAGATCCTTCTGCTTTCAGTTTTTATGGGGTTTTTCCCAAATCCATTTTCTGGATCTTTTTTCAGGGTTTCTGTTCATTATCTTTTGTGTATGGTAGGTGTAGGATGGAGGGGAATCATAAGAATTACCTGTGGGCTTTTCTGAACCACATGTAGTTTACTTCTGAAAAGCTGATATGTACCATCAAGGTATGACAGTGGAAAGGGCCTGTGTGTTTAGATAAACCACCAGAGAATTTTTAAACACCTAGCATCTCTAGTTAAGAATCGCTGCTCTGTATAAACCACTACCCAAATACTGATGCATGATTTCACCCCTAAGTTAAACAATATAAACCATGTTACTTCCATTCTAAACCTGCATCGGTTGTGTTTTCTCTACTGCTTACAGAGCAAGGCAAGCACAAGACAGTCAAGAATATTCCTGTAAGGTTTATAAAACTTATCACCCTTGCCTGCCTAAGGAAGGAAAGGTTACTGTATTTTTCCTACAGGGAGCAAAGAAGGGAATAACTTAACTGAGAAAAAGACATAGTTAATATCATTTCCAGACTGAAAATTTATTAACTGGTCCAAACACATCGTTTCACTATGATAACTCTAAGGAGTCATCTATGAACAATTTCCATGCACAAAAAATTCTAGGTATATCCTTTTCTGAGTTATTTATATCCTTTACAATGTGCAAAAGTATTGCTCTTATTATCAAGAAATGACAGCAACCATTACTGATAATCACAAGTGCTGGTCACATAAGTCAGACCATGGGATATCAGGACTCCTCTAGGAATAAGGAATTTTCCCTCTTACTGGAGGTGGGCAAGGAGAGCTTTCTACCATGAAGGGCTGATGGTCCACTGCAAGAGCTGGGGGTCACAGAATTAAAGGCAGCTGAATTTAGCATGTTATGTGTATTCATTATGTATGTGTGTGTGTGTGTAAGAGAGAGAGAGAGAGAGAAAGATCATTCCTGTCCTCAACTAGCGTTGAACAGAGAACAAAACAATTAACATACATGCCATGAGTAATTAAACAGAATATTTCAAGTCCATTCCCAGGGAAACTTTAAATCTTCATAGGCAAGAATTCTAACTCATTGGACAAACTATTTCTTCGGCAAGTCCTTATCCATTTCTACCACTAGATACTGTTCTATGAGAGCAGGAGAAATACCTGGCCAATTTGAACGTATATTCTAGGGCCTAAGCTGGGGCTTGGCCCACAGAGACACTCAGCTATCACAAAGTGAGCAAAGGAAGGTTCATAGTGCAAAATTCTCACTTCTATCTCAGACACCACCTCCCTACCCCACTGTCAAGCCATGATTCATTTTCCACCTACTCCTACTCAACACTCCAGGGACTCATTTCATTGAGCCAAATGCTTGTGCCTTTAAGGCAAAAATTGATCAGTGGCAACTGGTCAACCATTTAAGGGGCCCCCATTTATCTGCATCTTGTGGGAATTCCAGAACAGCATTTCCATCTGTTGTACCAGAAAAGGTAAAGTTGAATCATTTCCCCAAAAGACCTCCATTACCACAACAAGCACTATGCCACTGATTAGGAAGCCTGAACTTTTAGTGTCATCAAAACCTTCCCAAACAAGATCTCAGATCCTCCAGACCACAATTTTTGTTTCTTTTTATCCTTTTGACCACACCCTCGGTAAGAATCACATGACACTAGGCAGAGCGCACACACACACGCACACACACACAAACTGAAACCCTTACTTTGTGCAATGTACTCTGATACTGCTGCATCTGTCCTGTGTTTCTAATCTACTTTATTTTATTCCATTCTATTTTTGTAATGCTGATTTTAGCTCACAAAATTTATCTCTTGAATCACCAATGGTCGTAGCTTGCAGTTCAAAAACTCTGACCTAAAATGACCTAGTACCACATCACCCACCTTGGCCTCATATTCACAAGATCATAGCACTCCAGGAAGCCCCCGATCCAAACTTAAGGGCTCTGGTTATATTTGATGAGTTTCATGATTATACTGAATCCATTGACTTGCTCACAGTGCCTCTTCCTATGTAAAGAAAGCCTAGAAGAGAAAGAAATGAATATTTGTGCTTGCTGATTCCATGGCAGGGCATTTTACAGGCTAGCTTCCCATAATCCCTTCAGCAACTCTAAAGTAGGCACCATTCCCACTTCACAGGTAAAAAGCAAACTGATGAGCACAAAAATAAAAGTGTATTTGTGTACTAAGCCTAAGGCCATACACCTACTAGGAGCAAAGGAACATTTACAGCCAGGGCTGTCTGACTTGTGTGCTCTCTCATCCTCCTGATTGCATTACACCAACGTTGTGAAAAACCCTGCTTCCTCTTCCCTGTGTCTGTCCACACACAGCATCTCACTCCACATCTGGTTCACTCATCCCTTCCTTCAGGAAGTTTCCCTCCAAGAAACATGTTTGTCTACCTCTAAGACGAGAAGTTCACACTTTGTTTTTGCACTAGGGCTTGCCATGCTTGGCCACAGTGTGCTCGGCATATGCACATACCACGTGGGCATGAGTGTGTGGGTAGATGTGTCTATTGCTCTTCTGCTACAAAAATCACAGCCAGTTTCAGTAAACAGGTGCTTGCAGATCTTGGAGCTGTTTGTTAGGCCCCATGACTCCCTTCTGTGGAGCCTCAGCTGATCCAGCCCCTTGAGGCTGACTAATGGAACAGTTTCAACTATTTTTAGTTCTTTGGCCACTGACCTGACTATTCTTGGAGGAGGCAGTAGTAGTTGGGAGAGCTGCATCAACTTCACCAAACCACTTCTCAGGAAGCTGA